AGGTACCTTAGGGTATAAGGTACTACTAGATTAACTTATTATAAGGTTAGTTATTAAGGTTAATTAGTAGTAATTACTATATAACTTTTATAGTAGTAATTAAGTAGTAAGTTTCTTCTTAATATAACTTATACTTATAAGTCTAGATAGTGCTAGGTTAGTTTTATATATATAAGGTAGATAAGGATAGTTTTCTAAAGAGGTAAATATAAAAATAAAGGGGAAAGTTAAATAAGGTAGTAATTATTACTACTTAAGTGTCTCTTCTTAATAGTACTATAGTTAGCGTAGAAGAGGTTCTTGCTTATTAAAGGGGTTCTAATAGCGTAATAGACGCTATAGTGTTTCTTATAGAGGTAAAGTAGCCTTAATAATACTTAACTTAGTTAGTAGTCTACTAGGTTATAGTAGGCTAAGTAAACTCTTATAATAGTAAGCCTTATTAATTACTAGTTATTAGTAATAATTAACTATTAATTAATATTAGTTTTTACTAGTTAATTAATAGGATCCTATATCTTATAATATTATAAAGGTTAAGAAAAGGTAGTTAAATTTATAGTTATTAATAGTTAACTAGTTAACAGGGTAAAGTAGGAGCATAAGTTTGGCAGCACCCTTGCGTATAGGCAAGGGTAAGGGATTCTGCTGGTAGGCGGTGTGTCACGTGACCTACCGCCTCTGGCCGCATCACCCATATGCCAACATGTATATTCGTTCAACTGGAGCTTGTCGGGTTGAAATTAATTTAAAATTCTCATACGGTAATGCGCAATATGACTTGAAGATGCAGTCAAAATTCCATCCATCTCGGCCTATGCGGACCGGAGGAAGGACGTTTTTGAGGTACGGAACTAGAGGCATATTCGAGTCCTAAAACATAAGAAAAGACCAGCGGCTACAAATCTTCTGGCACTGACTACAACTTAGATGAGTGAATGGGTTGCCGCCAAGATGAGAGCTGTCGGGATCGACGTGAGACTCAAAAGTCTTGGTAAACAACAGAACACGGAGCTCGAGCTTCCGCCCTTGGTGTTAGGACGTTATGGCAAAGACCCCGAAAAGCCGACAGTCCTTGTGTACTGCCATTATGACGTTCAACCTGCCTCCTTCGAAGACGGTTGGAAACACGAGCCATTCGAAATGACAGTCGAGGAAAGTGGCAGGCTCTGCGGCCGCGGCACATCGGATGACAAGGGCCCCCTGGTTGGGTGGATCAACATGATAGAGGCTTTCCAGAAAGCTGATTTGGAAGTGCCTGCAAATTTGGTCTTCTGCTTCGAGGGAATGGAGGAGACCGGGTCTTTCGGTCTCCGAGGGGCATTGGAGGACGAGGCAGACAAGTACTTCTCCGACGTTGATGTGGTCTGCATCGCCGATGTTGTTTGGGTCAGTAACGAGCAGATCAGCATCCCTCAGGGCTTAAGAGGCATCATTTTCTATCTTGTGACGATCACGGGCGCGAAGCAGGATGCACACAGCGGCGGCTTTGGGGGTCAAATTTCCGAGCCAATGGTTGACATGGTGAACATTATGTCGTCGTTGGTGGACTCGAATGGGAAGATTCTGATACCTGGGATATATGACAACGTTCAACCCGTCACGGAGAAGAAATACGAGAGTTATCAGAAGCTGAACATATCCGAAGAGTCCCTGTACGGTGGCACTGGGGGAAGGAGCCTTTACGACAACCAGGCTGACGCACTCATTGCTCGGTAAGTCTTTTCCATCAATGGCTCTGCTTACAACTTTCACTGAACTTACATTTACATTTTAAAGATGGAAGAAGCCGTCCCTGAGTCTACACCGGATCGAGAATGCTTTGCCCGGCGCTGGGGCAGTCACCTCGATTCCCGCTAAATTGGTGGGCAAGTTCAGCATTCGAACTGTACCCTTCATGAAGGCGGACGAAATCGATCAGATTGTACGGAAGTACATCCAAGAACGTTTCGATGGGCTCGGAAGTCGGAATGACATTGAGATTGAAGCTTATCCTAGCGATTGGTTCTATGAGGATGCTAGTCATTGGAACTACCAAGCCGCTATAAGAGCAACACAGAATGTCTGGGGTATCGATCCAGCCATCACGTGTGAGGGTGGCAGGTAAGCCAACACCTTGAGCATCATAAGTCTTATATTAACTCACAGCTAACGTTCCTGCAGCATCCCCATCGCCCTTGACTTCAAGAAGATCCTGAAGAAGAACGTGCTGCTGCTCCCTATTGGCCGGCCTACAGATGGGCACCATAGTACCAACGAAAAGTTGGACAAGATTAACTAGTGAGTGAACAGCTTGCCTCGGTCTTAGATAGTTATTTGTTATGGCTGACAATGTTGAAAGCATCAACGCCATCAAGCTTTATGGGTCGTATTTGCAAGAAGCGGGAACTCTGTGGCGTAAAAGCAACGGAAAAGTGTAGTCAATCTTACATCTAGAAGAAAATACTCACGATTGCCAGTTCTAAAAGTTCATATAACGAGCACAGTAAACCGGATACAGAGTAAACTTCTATTGTACAAGGTAATCGGCCCAGATATTACCTTATCAATGTGCATATTGCAACGTCAGGATTTTGCGTTGTAAGATATCAACGCCCTAACTCCCAATATGTCCAAAAGCCAGACGACACACTCATAAAACTGAATCATTTACGGATGCACCGGACACAGTTACCCAACTGCATTTGTAAACAGCCTCACGTCATTTATATATTTGTGCGGGCCATTAGAGTCGCTAATTTGACATGTAATTCTTTGAGAATTAGGCGGCGAAGGAGCAGAAGAACGTAAGTGGGAGAACTGCACAATTTACCCAGTACGAATAAATAGGACAAGCAGTCTTATCGCTGCAACAAATCGGTACTTTGCGAATTCAGTAATGCCGCAGCACGACCTTACTTTCTGATCAAAACTTATATGTTGATGGATAAGAATACTATCCATCAACACGGCAGGCTTTGAAGCTGGGCTGCGTTACGTCTTGATATAACATGTCATGGATGATGTTTGACCTAGCAGAAACCTCTGGCACAAGATCTGACGTGTACCAATCTTGTTATCCCATTTTCCGTACGAAAATGAACTGAGATCTGTTACTAAAAGAGTTTTCTCTATGCGCTCGCTGACTCTTGGGAACGAGATCGAAATTCCCAGCTTCGTTCTTTGCGGCTCTCTAGTGAGCAAGCTTGTCATTATGGGAGCTATTTCTGGTCTAGCGTTTCCAAATGACTATGCAAGTAGCCGGCTACCTATCCACTTTGATTTTCATCACGCCTCCGCAAGTGGGATTGCTAGTATGCACCCACAGCCTGAGAAAGAAGCAATGTCAAAGCAGAGCAGATCCATGCTTGAGAAAATAAAGAGTATATCACCGATGGTTTAAGGAGATTCATGAGAGTAATAGACGCCGAGCAGAGACAGCATGAGACCAACAACAGACCAACATGGGATGCTTCAAACATCACCATCAATATCGAGATCTACAAACCCAGGCAGCGCAATTTACGACTAATAGATTTTCCCTCCTGGACGACATATTTATCTGAGCAATAAGATTCAGTCACACAACATTACAGTCATCAGAACATTATTCGTCTCGGTTGGCGCATACTCAAATATTGCAGAACAGATACCCTGACCTGCGACGACGACCCCGAGCACTTAAAACAACCTATCTGGTACACGATGAGAGCACCTCAACTCAGTGCAGAAGCCTTCTGCCGATGTCTCGAAGATATGATACTCGGCAAATTTCTGGCCCACCTACCTGACATATGTCAGAATCTAGAGGCGACATGGCTAGGACCGTCTAACATAGAATTTCAAGGCCCCAGCCCATTACAAAATGAATCACCTAAACACTGTCTTACGTCAAGCACGATTAGTAAAGAATTCTCTTTATTGATAACGGCTGCCTTGAGTGGCGATTACCCCAATCCCTTTTTCAATATTACCAAGTTAGACAAGTATTCATTTGACACAAGGCTACTGACAAATATCCAACGGGATCTTGCCCTTTTTGAACAAAGGATGCAGCAGCAGAGATCCTATATATCAAAAGGATCCACAGAACCATATGATTTCAGTGAAATCGAGAGCATGGTGAAATCAAGCTGGAACAGTGGATTGCCTGGGATGCTGAGTCCAACCATCGTTTCCGAGCTACTTATATCTCGATGCCGGTCATGGGAGCAGATAGTGCAGGCGACTAAAGCGGATATCACACACAGGATTCTAAATTGTGTCAGAGAAATTCTTGGCTACATTGGATGGACGAGAAACATCGAGGGAGCCTCTCGTGATGTAGAGGCGGCACTGGAAACCGTCATCAAAGACTTCCGCGAAAAGGTCAACGAGTTGATGCGCCCTTATCGCTACACACATCCACTCATATACAATCGCACCGTTATACAACGCGTATGGAGCCTCCATGATTCTCGGCGGAAGGCTGAAAGCGAAGCCCAAAGATTGTCTGGGAGCAAAACAAAAACTGGGTTCTTCAAGGCGAACCGCACGGAAGATTGTATCGAATTACTAACAGCCTCCGACATCGAGAGCAACTTATATCGCCCAGCCTGTGAGCTAGCCTCGGATTACACGAAGGCTTATTATGAGGTATGTTATTATTTTTTCAAATGGCCTAGACCGTGTTCAGAAGCTTGCGTTAAATCGTGGCGATCTGCGTAGGAGGCTCTGCAAGGGTTGATCTCGAATTTCGGCCTGTACGCAGTCGAAGAATGTCTTTTGTCGAAACTGAATACCGTATTTGAAGTTGAGCCGACTCCAGAAGCGTCTGAGAAACCCATTCTTGGCGAGGGCGATGGGTATGTGAACATAATCTGACGGTCAAGTTATTTGCAGTCTAACTGGCGGTAGATTGAAAACTGTAATTGAAATGCTGAGACGTGTTGAAGCATGTCGAACAGCATCATCTGTGGCCGAGTCTTCTGATACTACTGGAGGTAATGGTCCACGCGAGCTTCATTGCAATCCTGGGCTAACATTTTCACGTCGCAGATATAGACACACCAACATCCATCACATAGAACGATCCGGATTGCGTCGTTCGCAATAGGCCGGACAACCATTTTCAGTCTCATCAACACGTTTCGCCAAGTGCCTCCACAAGTACTTTTGAAACTTATTTAGAGGCCACTGATAATTGAGAAATGGAAAACAAAAAGGACTTCTTCGTAGTTGAATGTCCACACAGGCACAGGTACAAAAAGCCATGTAAGAAGTGCAAAGGACGAAGGCAAAGATGCAATCCATAAGAGATCAATCTTTACCGTGGCGATAGGCTCGCAGCTTGCTATCAGCCCCCCTGGCTTTTTCTTTCCTTTTTTCTTCTTCTTTCATTATACTTGCCTTGTGGTCTGTCGCAGCCCTGTTGTCATGGCCTGGACGTCGATTGCAGTACTGACACCCGGTTGTTTAGTAGAGACAGCTGGGAGGCGTGCAAATCTGATAAATGCATCCTCTTCCGTCAACTTGGCTAGTTCGGAGTCGACATGCATTGTCATGTTCTTGGCCGTGGTCGGATTCGTGTTCAGATGGGCATCCATCTCGATATCATCCCACCGCAAACCCTGTCTGCGATCCTTCTCCTTCTCGATGTTCTCGCTCAACTCGGTAGTGGTACCGAGTTGGACTGTGTACATCGGATTGCCGTTCTCACCCGACTTCGGGGTCATTGCGCCGGGCTTGTATAGCGGGATGGCCCTGCAGGCCGCTACCAAGGCGCAGTGAAACCTGTTGCTCCTCTGGGCACGTAGCCTGTCGTCGGACCAGTTATTGCGATGCGTGAACGCCAGTCTGAGCTCCATCTTGCTGAGTTCATGGAGGTTGACGACGTTCAGTCCGAGGCTGTCCGGGACGTAATCCCGCGCGTTGTTAGCGAGGAACTCCTCTAGGAGCGTGCGCAGGCGGACGATGTCCTTGAAGCTGGTCCTGAAGTCCACGGACAAGGTGACGCCCTGGCGGTTGATGCCAGACCGCGAGAAGTTTTCGATCCGTTTCTGCTATAACCGGTCGTTGGAGATCTGGAGGTCGCAGCCGTTATCGAGACGCCGGAAGACAGTGTACAGAAGCGATTGCTGCTTGACGACGCAGGCAGTGGCGGCGGTTGAGCCCATGTTGTAGACATTCACTACGTCCCCGATGTCATAAGGATGGTCGAAGAAGACGAAGACGATGCCGACGAGGAGATGATGAAACGTACGACCGACAGCGAACGAAAGACCGATGGCAAGACTGGAAAGAATGGTTTGAATCTGCTTGATGGCCGGCACATACTGGACCACTACAAAATGGGTGAGCTTTTCGCGGGCGAAGGGAGATATCACTCATGACTTACTGATGAAAAATATCATGACGCCGGCGAGAATCAGAAGACAGAACCAGTCGAATGTGTTGATACAGTGGTCCATGCTGTCCATGTTACGGTAGATATCGTGACGGGTCTTGCCGCCCTCTGTGACCATCCCGACAAATTCCTCGATGCGAATGTCGGGGCTGTTGTTCTCGTTAAGCGCCTTGAAAATCCTGACAGCCTCATCTCTGCGATAAGGACCGAGGACCTCAATTATGTCGTCGACCGTGAGGCCAGGCCTGCCCTGAGCGACTAGAGACAGCCAAATACGTCGCCCTAGCGCAACCGCAGACACCGGGCTCGCCCAGGAACGCTCGATGACCGCATATGTGCTGGCAGGCCTCAGCCAGTGGGCATTGGGCTCGGCAGAGATGAAATTGCCAAAGAGACTGGTCATTTTGTACCCGTCGATGCCCAGCCGCGCGAGGTAGCTGGAAACCCTGACACGGCCCGAGCCATTGGCGTCTCCTTTGGCGTTGCGGATGAGTATGTCTTCCTCGGCAAATGTTCCGCTGTGAGGTGGGTGCAGAAAGACTGAGGCATCGTAAAGATTGATAAGGGCGTTCTGCAGGTCCTTTGTGCGCTTGAGCTTCACGTTGTCCGCTCGATAGTGGTAGTGGATCATGATGTAGGATATGAAAAGCTTTTCGATGAAGTAAAAACAGACCCAGAGGGTCAGCTGCTCCAAGACATCGGCGACCACATCATCCCAAGCGAAGGTGTCCTGGGCTTTGTTGATATTGACGGCTAAGAGCTCATTTTCGTTGATGCACTATCACCCTCAAGAGTTAAAATCAGACTGGCGGCTATTCGTCAAGGTCTACACTCACAGCAGCAAAGAAGATGTACGTGACAAGTGTGGTTCCGAGAAACGCAATTGGCCTTCTCATGAACTTGAACACTCTCCAATACCTCTGATGAGCTGAATTGAGATACCTAAGCTACCCAGTTAGAGGTGGTTATAGCTGCAAACTTTGCAACACTTGACAACTTACCTTGCCATAAACCTGAAGAGGTACGGAATACCCAGGCCGAGGAGGTCAGAGCCGACGGCCCCGATCCAGGTCACTTCTAGCCACAGACAGATGTAGAACATGAGGTTTCGGTACTGCTTCGCTTCAATGGCTTGCGGTGTACTATCATCTATGATGTCCGCATCGTTGGCTAAAGTGATGATTGGGATGAGGAACGCGACAAAAACGACAACTACGATGCTCGCATACCGCAAAGCCCATCAAAAGAGCTTTCTTCGATGATGAGCCAAGATGATAGGTGGCATGTATTGTTGTTGAGAGGCACGAGGAGAATCTTGATACTCGTGGCCACTTTCGATTTCCCGACTCCCTGTTTCAGACTGACAGTGTGCGAATTGCGTCCAACCCTTGAGCAGAGGATCTTGATGCGGCCGGAAGCCAGTTTGGATAGGTTCGCCTGAGCTGTAAGGCGCTTTGAGTAGAGATAAAGTAGGTGAAGCAGGAGAAGAGGACAGGTTCACTGGCCTAATGGCGTCAGTTTGGTTGTTAGAGTTTCTCCGTTGCTGAAGGACAGACGGCAAGCTGTCCCTGGGAGTGCGATCCATACTGTTCCAAGAGCAAAAGATTAATCAAGGTAGAAATCCGAGATGTCTAGAGGTGAACCATCAAGTCTGGGAGTATCCAGCCTTATATTAAATATTCATCGCTGCACTGAATTCTGACTATGGCACGCCACAATTTGGACTGCTTTCTGTGACCCAGTCTCAGAAGCAAGCCATCAGCTAACCGCCTCTACATGCCAGAATCCAATCGTCTGCCTAAACCTTTTGAAGTCTCTGGCATATAAGTAATGCAATAAGTCGAAAGACAGAAGGAGGCCCACTACCATGCCACGGCTATGGTAGAGAGCTCGATCCTCGCACGGGCAAGCCATTAAGCACCGGTGACAAAACTAATATTAGTCGCTAGCGCCGATGCGCTCAGTCCTGCTCATGATATAGCGAGCGTAGGGAAATCAATTTACACAAAAGCGCGATGCGCCTAACTAATACACTTTCAAAAAGTTCTAATATCAGATTGCTGTACCCTATGGGTGGCGTAGGGCTGAGGGACGGACTGGTCGCAGGCCATGGTTGAAAACACCCTGTCGCGGAGCGAGGCGGTATCTGTTACAGGCTAGAAGGGACAAAAGGCCCACAACCCCAAGGGTGTGTTTTATAACATGCCCCTCGGTATATTAGACGACCTCCTCCTGTTGTACCTACGAAGAAAACCAACTAATACACCCTCTGCTCACTAATACTTGTCTTTTGACTCTGTCGTTTCGCTAGCACTTTCTTGCTCGTCGCTCCTTACTGCTTTGCTGTCACATTTTACTCTCTTGCCGCGTATCTTCGCGACGCTGCTGTATTTGTTCAAACGTCGAACCCGGCCGATTTAGCCTGTCAGATCCGGGAAGCCTGCCAGGAGGGCCGTGTAAGTATTATTCCGCTTGGCAGCAGTCGATGATTCCGTGATGTTCATCCGTTGTCCTTCCAGTGGTCAGGTTCGGCTGTAACATAGAATACACACCTTGTCTTTACAGTGACCACAAGTAGTAAGGATGTGTTATCTGAACATACCTTACTCTATTCAGTTATGTGTATAAGTTGGCCAGTAAACTATTCTATCAGCCTTCAACTTATGTTAGGCTTTTATGTATGAGGAACAACAAGGACCTGGAGAGGTGTTGGCTAGACTTTCCGTTTGTCTATGCGCTGAGGAGGCAGTGTGTATGCCGAGTATGCGTGCGCAGCAGCCGAGATATACGTATTTAAGGATCTTGCATTCACTCTTCAGCAATAATGCTACGACCCGATAGCTACTCCAAGAGAGCCCAGACGTACTTGTATTGGTGAGTTATACGGTTCTGGTCCTAGTGATCCAGCGCCATGCCAACGACGACGTGCCGATAGAACCCGGTGTGGGTGCTTGGACTCGACAGCCAATCAACTACGGACCAGATCCCCACGGAGTCTTTCTGATCGGACATGGATGGGATCCTGAATGTATCAGTAACCTATAACAATCCGGCTCCGGTCGTTGCATGTAAACAATGCAAGGTACAAGTCAATGATACCGCGGTGTTACGGGCTACCTGATTCGCCTGACATCTTGCAATATGGTAAGGGAGCACTTACACTAATTACACTAATGGCATTTGCGTACACATACTCTCTAGTCAGTGAATCATTTAGTATAGTTGCTGACATGCATGTGGGACGGCCAACATCGGCCCGCATATTGCCACCCACGAATTTTTTCCCTTATTTTAGTCTCTGGCGTGGGGCGAGCACACGCAACCAACGCTTGCATGCTGGTGGTCCTCTTGAAGTGTAATTCTGCGTGTTCCTGTTTGCGCCTGGCATAGCCAGAAACTTCTCCGCCTGGACAAGACATATTAACCATGGCGACCGTGGCAGAAGAGCAGCCATTACTCGTAGAAGACCCTCTCTGCGAGCAGGACCTGTCGAAGCATTTGCTCGACTTTGACCCCAATGGCGACCCTGAGAACCCCAGAGAGTGGCCGACCCCCTTCAAGTGGACTATTGTCGGTCTGCTGGCCCTCACGGCCTTCACTGTGTACGCTCCTCGTCGTCTTCCTTCTGCCACCGTCTCGTGAAGAGCGACCCTCCAGGCTGACGATTGTTCTCGCAGCACCTTCACCTGCATCTCCGTGGTGCCCGTCGCCGCACACATCATAGCGGACCTGGACCGGAATGAGGGCGGAGTCAACTCCCCCGCGGCCGCCCTGCTCGTCACCATCTGGGAGCTGGGCGAGGCCGCCGGCCCCCTCCTCATCGCGCCCCTGTCCGAGATCCACGGCCGCTACGCCGTCATGAACGCCGCCAACATCCTCTTCATCACCGCCACCGTCCTCGCCGCCCTCAGCACCAGCACCCCGCTCCTCATCGCCGCCCGCTGCCTCACCGGCCTCGCCGTCGCATCCAATGTCCTGAGCCCCGCCATCATCGGCGACATATTCGCCCCGGACCGCCGCGGCTCCGCCATGAGCTTGGTCATGGTCGCGCCCCTCCTCGGCGGCGCCGTCGGCCCCATGATCAGCGGTGCCATCGCCCAGACCCTCGGCTGGCGCCAGGTCCTGTGGATGAGCGCCGCCCTCGCCGCCCTCTGCGAGCTGCTCTTCCTCACCTGCTTCCGCGAGACCTACAAGATGACCATCCTGCGCCGCCGCGCCGCCCGCCACGCCGACGAGCACGGCCCGTCCCTGCACCCGGCCGGCGTCGACGACCACAAGGGCCTGCTGAAGCTCTGGGAGTCGGTCAAGCGGCCCTTCCAGGTGCTCTTCCGGTCCAGCGTCCTAATGGGCCTCTCCTTCTTCGGCTGCATCACCTTTGCCTACTTTTACGTCATGTCCATCAGCCTGCCTGTCATTCTCCAGGACGTCTACGGCTTCTCTCCCGCGCTCACCGGCCTTTCGTTCATGGCATTCAGTAAGTTCCCCATCCACCTGTCATGCGTAGCTCGTCCGGCGACGAAGCAAATTCATGACTAACACAATCCAGGCATCGGGTCCTTCCTCAATGTCCTACTTAGCAACTTCAGTCTGGACAGGATCTACGTGGTGCTCCGCGGCAACGACGCGGTAGGACGCCCCGAGTACCGTCTCCCGCTAGCCATCATCGGCGCTTTCACCCTGCCCCTGTCCCTCATCGCATATGGCTGGGTTGCAGAGCTACGCCTCCCCGTGGGCTACCTCCTGCTATCGGTAGCAATGCTCGGCTTCACCATGTTCATGGCCTCCTTGCCGATCTCGGCATACGTCGTCGACGCTACTGGCCTGTACTCCGCCTCCGCAATGACCGGTGTCATCGTGACGCGATGTCTCGCCGGCACCTTCCTTCCTCTGGCCAGCGGGCCCATGATGGAGAGGTTCGGATACGGCTGGGGATTTACGATGCTCGGGGTCTTGAGCATTTGCCTGGCGCCCATCCCGGCGTTTGTTATGAGATACGGCCACGTCTGGCGCCAAAAGTCGGAGTATACGAGAGATGCCTGAGACGTTATGAGTTCAGGAGTTCATGACAGTTATCATTAAGCATTTAAATAGAGATCTGGAAAAGTACTTTGGCCCCATGAGTAAATGGGTTTTGCTTCTTAGATTAGATGGAGTTTAGTTATTGGTCGATTGGTCCGGCTGTGGCACTTGACCACCGTCAAAAGTCAATAAGCTTGTACATAGAACGTAGTTACTAGTGCATTGTCTGTCGAGAATGTAACGAATGTAGATGCATCGGCATACCTCATCCGATTTTCAAATAGGTCTTGGCCACCTTAGTAGCCTCGTAGACTGCGTCATACCCAAGTACCGAATCGCAATGCAGTCGCCATTGTTTGTGCAACGACTCGTCATCGAAGTCGTAACCTGCCAACTCGGCATCCCGGGCCTCTTGCTCGAGTCCTTTGGGCACATGGAACCATTTTCGAAGCGGCTCCGTGCGACCCTCGCCGCGTAGTGCGTCGGATGCTCGCGTCCCTCTGGCCACTCCGTATGCTTGAAGCACGGCGGGGACCAACTTCTTGAGCTCGCGTTCCCCCACGGACTCATCTCTCATGTCTTCCTCAGAGTGCCCTAGCATAGTTGCTTTCTCTATCGCAGATTTGCCTCTTACGTGTTCTTTCGCTAAGCCGAGTAGTTTGGCAAGGAAGGCCCCGTCCTCCATAGCCATGGCTGCGCCTTGTGCTTGGTAGGGGAGGTTCGAGTGAAAAGCGTCGCCCAGGAGAACAAAATGATCCTTGATATCTGAGTTTTTTTATGCCGGAGAGAGGCATTGAAAGGGGACTGAACGTACCCTGCTTTCTAGGTCTACCTTGGGCGGCATGCGGATCATCCACTTTTGAACCCGGGGTACCGAAGATATGATCTTCCTCAGTCTGTGGAGCGTCAGTGTCCAAACAATCCAAACAAAGCCTCGGCAGCTCGGTATCTAGCCCATCTTAGCTGGCCGCATCATGACATTTTGCAGCAACAAGATACATAATTATACTCACGTCTCATCCCATCCGGCGTAAAAGTTTCTCATCTCTCCCACGTCTCCCTCAATATGCGAGTGCTCGGGCTCCTTGCATTTTTGCCGGATCAAGATGAGATTGATCTCTCGTCCGCCTCTGACGGGGTAAAAGACAGTGTGTTGACCTGGGCCCAGCCACGTCAAAACCTTGTTTTGCGCGCAGAGATCATTTACTTGAGGGTCATTCAGGGCCCTGAGGTGCTGAATTGGGAGCACTGCCCTATAGGCTACGTCGCCCGTCTCGATCAGAGGCGATGCCTTCCCAAGAAATTGATCGCGGCATACAGACAGGGCACCTGCTCATATCAGGGGTGGTTCTTTTTGTCACGCATCATTAAAGCAGCCTTACCGTCGGCGCCGATGATGAGATCACCGCTAATCTCATCTCCATCTTCCATGTACACAGTATCATTCTCAAAGTCGATGCTCTCCACCTCCATGCTCAGGTTGAGGCTCACTCCCAGCTCTTGGCACGTCTGCCACAACGCGTTGTGGAAATCGGCTCTATGCGCCACCATCCAAGGATCGCCGTAATTCCTTCGACACTGTGCCTCGGTGAGCTCGCATAACTTGTTACCGTCTCCGAACCGGCGGAGTTCCACCGTGTCGACAGTGTCTGCCACCCGGTGTAGCTTGTCCAGAAACCCAAGCTGTCGCGCCACTTTTGTGCCGTTGGGCGGCACCTGAATGCCCGCGCCCATCTACAACATGACGGTCAGGTTGAGTTTATGGACCACGACGTAATGGAATAGTGCGAGCGTGCTGATGGACCTACTGGTATGATCCTGCTGGCTCTCTCGAGAACCACCACCTCAAAACCCTCTCTTCGGCATCCAATGGCGCAGGTCAGGCCGCCGATGCCTGCGCCAACAATGATGACTTTCAGGCTTGGCTCTGTATTCATGGCATACCAGTTTGACCGGATGGAAATGGATGCAATCTGAGGTGTAGGGAGGAAATCTTCTACGGCTGAAGCTGCGAGGCGCTACTGCTTAAAAGGCCTTGCTGAGGTGCATCATGCATGCATGATATTCTGGTTCGCCTCCAAGCTACCCCGCGGCAAGGGAACCCCACCATGCCATACAAGACCGGTTAATAGCACGAAAAGCCAACCAAAATGAGCGTGGCAGTTGGTCTTTAGCCTAGTCATAACTAGTTGTCGAACTCGCAGTAATCCCTAGATTACCGAACCGTTTCTTCATTATCTTCTCACCTTGTCTATGTGGATATTCTCGCATCTTGTCCAGAGGCACCACGAGCAGACCTGGTCTTCATCCAGGTTAATGTTGTATGGTATTGTGGTCCGAACCTCTCGCAGACACAATCTTGCACGTGTTCTCGTTATCGTGATCCGAATCAGCACAGAATTAGTCCTGGCTACTGAAGAAGAAAAGTTGTGAGGGTGTTTGGGAGACCAGGGATATCGACTTTTGTAGGAATTGATCGCACTCGTCACCGCTTGCGAGATAATGGTAACTTTGTGGTTTTGTTAGTTTAGCCTTAAAGGTATGGTAAATTCGCAGTGAGCCCTCAAGTTTGTGTACATGATTGGCCCATTATAATTTTGCACCTATAATTCATAAATCATTCACGGGTATTTTTGCGCATTCTAGATTGAATCACATGTATCTGTAAGCTTAGAAAGAGGTTTGAGTAGAGAGTCGCTAGAATCTAGGAATTGATCCACTCACATCATTCGACATCGACCCTCCCATCCCCTTTCCCTTCGCACACACTCTAGTTCTTTATTTTTTGGTGGCGTTGGCTACATTCAACACAAAGTACTGCTTCGTGTGTAACACCGCGTGCAGGTATCCCTTCGCCCTTGCTGGTGTGAGGAAGGCGGCATACAAAGAAATTGCTTGCCATGGCGGTTACGCTACGTCTTACAAACATATTAAATCCACGCAGTAGCCTGTTACATTTAGCGATGGAGGAAGCAGCTGGCTTTCCATCACAAACAACATAGTTGCATACATTTTAACAGGCCTTTTGAACATTTCCTCTGGCTGCCGTAGACTCGATGTTGTGTAAAGTTTGACATTCCTAATGCAAACATACCATTCATGCGTGGTCTAAATGAATAGGTCTCCCTTGTCAGAAACGACAGGATAATATAGTATTCATGTCTCCATTTGATATCGTCTGTGTAACACTTCATAGCCGAGATCGTGGCTACTTTGAATGGTACCCATCTCACATTCTATGTTTCTTGAGAGGGGAATATGAGCCCATTTGTCTCCCAACTCAAGCAGACTCAGGGCGGGCCATTGAAGTATTTGTCTTTTGGGGATAACCCACTTACACAATGTTTAATAACTAGCGAGAGTCGATTGGCGCATCTCCCACGTCGATACTGCTTCCTCGAGCAGGTCCCTGCACTTACACGTTTTCCGAATCGTGCCAGAGTTTTCTCGGATTCTCAGGCGACATGGCTGATTTTCTACTCACCCTGTTGCTCCTCTACGGGGTTTTCGGCAATGTGCTGTCTCTCGCAGATTCGGGGCCAGACCTAGATCGGTTCCGCCATGCTCCCCGTTTCGCGAACAGCACCGCTGGGAGTCTACCAGCCCAGACCTCGTGCCGGGTGGGGATCGGTTCCTGCACCATCCCGGTGGTCCCTCCAAGGTCAAATGCCACGACGGTAAGCTGCAGGAAAGCTTGCATGATACAAATGAGATACCTGACTGACTCTTATAGACGGATCTGAAGTCTAGAAACACCCCCTCGACAACATTCATACCTGTAGCGGAAAGTACGGATGCGGGGTCTAAAAACATCTCATCAACTACATTGATACCTGTAGCAGAAACCACCCTCAGCATCATCATCGGTAACACTACCGTTACCAGAGTCGAGACGAAAGTCGTCATTCAGACCTCCAATTCATCGGTAACACTGCCGGCGGTCCCTACGATAGCCTCTTTAACGAGTGTATTCGCCATTCAATTGCCAACCTCGGTATCCACATCGTTGGCAACCACTTCAACATCAAAGTTGACATCGCTGCTTAACCCCCCGTCCTCCAAGCCCATGGGAAGCCTGGTTTCATCCACGACTGTAGTAGTAAATGGCACTGCCTCCCTTTCTGGTGACAACAGTCAGTCGCCAGGTACAACGACGGGTATCAACATTCTGAAGAGCTCAGGGACCCTTACTCCAAGTTCAACCGCCACAACTTCTTCAATCACGGCTGGTTCTGATACTCTGACTGATGAGCCGCATCTGACGTTGACTACCCTGCCGTCAGGGGTAAGCTTTCAGACTCTCGAGAGAGTTACTTACACCTCGCCCACGTATATCACAACCACATCCCCAGGCAGCAACCACCCCACAATTGTTCCAAGTAAGTTTCGGCTGAGCATTTTGTCGATAGTGCTAACCGCCAGCTGGATTTAGTCATTATCCCCTTCGTCGGCCCTCCGATAATATGTTTCAACTGCTTCTTAACGTTCCCGCCGAACATCAAGATCGACGTGCCACAGTTCTGCATCCAGCTTTTTGGGCTGAAAATCGGCAATTGCCCGCCCAAGAACGACAATAAGGGCGACGAGAAGGACGACAAGGAGGAAGATGAAGGAGGCGATGAAAACAAGGATGACGACGAGAAACCCACCAAGTCTGAGAAGCACTCAACAACAACCTCGACTTCTTCGTCCTCGTGCACTGTTACTATTACTGCCACCCACAGAAGCGTGTTCTGCTCAGTAACAAAAGGTAGGTCTGATGGTGTCATTGAGGAGACAAGAGACCCGCTGACGTGAGTCGGTTCCAGGGAACAGTGCCGACGCGTCCTGCTCGACGACTGCCTACACGACAGCCACCGAGTGTAGTGCCCTCGGTAAAACAACCACCGTGACGGCGACTGAGACCCCGACTCCATTCTTACCAGTATGTGGTCCTGACACGTGTGGCGGACAAGCCTGCCCTAAGAAGAGGGGAGAAAGGCCCGTCCCTGCTGTGGAAGGTCTCCTCAAGCGCGGCAACCCAGAGCTCGGCCGATGGCCTGACCCGACTGACTACCCGAACCACCAGGGTTTCATTGCTGACCAGATCGAGGGGATAGCCCAAGGCAGTCAAGAGCGACCGAGGTACAGTCCGAAACTCGTCCATCACTTTGATGGCTACCCCCTAAGTGCCGGCTGGGTCCGCTTCAAAAGCAGCGTCGAAGCGCTCGCGCTCCAAGGGCTGTACGGCTGCACTAGCATCGTTCTGGTTTCCCGCCGCGGAGCGTGGGTGAGCCACATCTGGGAAACCATTGTCATGAATGCGGACCCCTATACCACGTTCAACCAGATGGTTGATGGGTATCTCCCCCGTGGGATGAGTCCCAGCGACCCGAATCACAGGTTTTACGAATACGGCCTGGCGGAGATGAGGGATCGCCCGGAGCTCGGCGAGGCGGGGGTCATATTTGGCGACATGCCGCAAGGCACCGACACGCCTTCGAGCTTGAACATGCGGGCTTTCATCGTCACGCCGCGCGCCCGCATGTTCCCCTCGATTTACAGAGATCCCAGCGGCCACATTATTCCGCATGAAGTCATAAACCAGGTCCATCATCAGCGGGGCACGGTCCGAATGCCGGAGCGGGTCGAGAGACTGAAGCGGGAGGTAGCCAACGTATACGGCGACATTCCCATAGAGGTGTTGGACTATAACGCATACGTCCCGAAGTTGGAGCATACGAGAAAGTGGGACAGTAGAAAGGTCATGACCGACGACGACGGGAACGAGTACAACCTCCGAGAATACATGGCCATGATGTGCAGGAACACCGTCAGGGGGAAGTTCCTGCTGCAGTATCAGCCCGCGAGGACTTGCAATGAACAGTCCGAGTGGCGGCTGTGGTTTGAGGGACAGCCGCTTGGCGATCGATCGGATGCCTGGAAGCCGTTGAGGAACCAGCTCTTTGCGCCGCCGGGGCTTTCGCTGCGGCTCGGGCGTAGACAGGAACCCGTCTGCGAGGTTCCCGCCCAAGGCGCACCTCCCGTGGGTTCTCCTACGTCCGCAGGTGATTCGGCATCCCCTGCCATCTCTCAGCCTGCCAGTGGCGTGCCCAGCACGCAGGCAAGCTGGAAACCCCCTTTGTCGGGCAACCACACCACATCCTTGCCGCAGACCATCCCGGCGGTCCCCGTCACGCTTTCGTCAACATCAACATCGGCTTCGGGAGTCGTGTATCCTCCCTGGAGCAATGCCGTTTCCCCGACGACCCGTGTCAACACCACGGCTCTATGGGCACCGTCGACTGTAAGCAATCCTGTTCCCCCGACGACCCGTATCAACACCACAGCTCTATGGGCACCGACGACTACGAGCAACCCGGTTCTTCCGACGACTGTTAGCAAACCGGCTCTTCCGACCGCTCCAACCAAAGACACAACCATACGGGTACCTGCCAGCACCGCAACTCTGCGGACCTCTGTTAGCAACACAAGTCCATTGGCCCCAACAACAATCTTCACAACTATAATTGTGACTGTCAAACACCCTACCCCACGGGAACCGGGCCTCACTGTGATCCCAATCACTTGGTCCACGACCCCCGTGACAGCATCCACCGCCACGGCCAAAGCCTCACCGAGACCGAAAGAAACCACCAAGACGACACCCGTCTCGAACAAGCCACGCGGCCCGGAGCCCTCGCAGGCCGTCGCAATCTACTACGTGGACACAGTCATGCGCAACTACAACGGGATGCTCGAGATCGAGGGCGCGTGGTGGATGCTCCCTGTGGGGGTGAAGGGAGAACAGGTCGACCACGAGCCCTGCGGCAAGGAACCGCAGGGTTGGATGTTGCTCGAGAAGCCCTTGGGCCTCGAGAGCGTCCCGTGGCCCCCCTCGTTGGGCGCGGAGAGGTACTTCTTCGACAAGAGGCACTGCAAGTACAAGGCGCAGGAAGGGGGCAAGGGGTACGGCACGCTCACCTGCGAGAACGTGGCCGAGTTCGCGTGCGAGAGGAACCCGTGGGCGGCCCAGAAGGTCGAGTGCAGCACGGATCCGGCGGCGGAGCGGACGTTTGTGGCCCGGGTCCTGTGCAGGTTCCCGACGACGGATCACAGGCCGGACGCTGACGAAGTGAAAGTCACGAGCACCGGTTGGGTCAAGACCAAAGTCCCGCTCTTGGGTCCACCCTAAGACAGATTGTTTTGAATCCAATAGCGTGTGATACTAATTGCATCTTCCTTCGCAAGTTTATCTTGCCTTGCCAAGCAGACTAGACCCGAATGAATTCCCAAAGGGTCGTGCCATGGCTCCGCCTAGCGAGACCGATTCCGTCCTCGGCAACGCACAGTACCATCAGCGCGTCTGACCACAGCGGCGACAGGAGCTGGTGCCCCCCTTCGGGGTGCTGCCGCGGCGTCCACAGCTCCCACCCACGGAGCTTGGCCCCGGTCCGGATGCCGACGTTGCTGTCGTGGCCGATGTACCTCCCCGACCTCGGGTTTTGGAATCCAAAGTACCCATTCTTCTCAACGCAGTGCCATAGCGTGCTTGGGTGGCGGTCCCCCTTGAGATCCTGGAGCACCGGCTTGTCGTCCACGATAGTTATGGCCCGGCAGGTCGCTCTTTCGATGATATAGAAAGTGCGGCCTGGCCACGGAACATCACCGTGTTCATCCCCAAGGGTTTCGTCGGCGGCTAAAGTGGCTGGAGGAGTTGATACAGGGGCCGACGTTTCTGACGAAGACTGGGACAGAGAGTCTTCCTGTTCGTTTCCGGCGCCCATGGTGGATATTACCAGTCTATTTATGCAACCGTTGTAATTTTTTTTCTCCCCGCTAGAGATAGCAAAGTAACTCTACAACTTTTGTGGCGTACAAGTATGAGTTGTGTATGTGGACTTTGGAAGTAGCACGTTGATGTTAGGGTCTGATTGAAGACGGCGGGAATGTTATATAAACGCGCCAACTTGGATAACGTGAGGGGAAACATTAGCCAGAAACTAAATAAATACAGCGCTAGGCTAAAAAGGGCCCTTTTTTCATTAGCAGAGTTTCCCCATGCAAAACCTTCGCATTTTGCCTTACCTAGATAAGAATAACTTTTAGGCCTCTCATTTAAGGGGGAAATACTAGATATCTATCTTTTTCCTATATAAACTGTTATAAGGTCCTTTAGAGATGCTTATAAGCTATCTAACACTTAGATATAATAATAACTAAGTAAAGGTTAAGGTTATATATTATAAAGGTGTAACAAAACATGTTTTATTAACTTTTTAAAACTAGGGTTAGGGTGATAGGGATAGTATAGTACATCTTGCCTAGCTAAGGTTTGACTTAATATACTTATATAAGTAGTGAGTACCCCTTATTTAAGGTACAAGCTGTTATCTGACTTTGCTGCTGTTGCTGATCAGAGCCTTAACTAAACAACCAGCAGGTAGATGATGCAATGTGGGGTTTTTGGGGAGTTCGGGTTATCATTGGTCATACCAACATATGCACGTCTACACGTGCCCAAGTATGTATCTTAGTTATTACCTTTCCAGTTTTCCGCGAATACGATTGTTATTGAGTGACAGAAGACATTTAAGCATCCGTCTGTCTGATTCTTGCAAAATCGTGGGTATTGGTTCTCTAGCAAGACAATGGAACGAGTAGCTGCATTGATAATGTTCTGTCGAGTCTTCCATCAGCGACGGCATCATTTGCTCGCCTTCAGATCCCTGCGAAAATAGACCCTCTCGTACCCTTCCTCTGTCTTCCTTTCCGTCTCGACGAAGCCCATTTTGGAGTACAAAACGAGGTTCTCAACCATTTTGACGTTGGTGTAGAGTTGTAGATTCGTGCATTGATAAGCCCTCGCAACGTTCTCGGCACACGCCATGAGAGCCCGTCCAAAGCCGCGTCCCTGGGCGGCCGGGGCAACGACTAAATTGTTTATGTGGAGTGCGTCTGCCGCCGGATCATGCCGAAGAAGAACGGCTCCGACTTCTTGGCCGCTCTGGTCGTTTCTGAGTACGTAAACCAGCTGCGATTTGATGAGTTGGTTGTAGTCGGCCTTCATGGGGGCTGGTTCCTTGCCGATGCGGTCGATGTACTTGGAATATGCTGCTTTGACCATGGTGTGAATTGCTGCAACATGATCAGGGTTGGCTCTCACGAGGGAATGGCCCTCGATGCAAGATTCGGGTTGAAAATCGTATTCATCCATGTTGGATCAACGAGAAAGTGATATTCGGAGTTGCAACAGTTGTGACAGAGTGTGACTCTTACACTGATGCTTTCCGAATCTAGGTACCTACGAGATGGATCCACATCTCCGATAGTGGAGAGCTACCCGGCCCTGTACAGCCGAAGCTACCTACCTACCCAGGTAAATCGTACCTACCTAGGTAGCTAGCTCCCTGTGAGATGTCCCGATAAGAGGTCCCCGATAAGATAAAGTCTCGCCGAAAAAAGAACAGACGGAATTTCCGAAAAGCCGCCGACCGAAAAATTTCGACCTGTTCGTCACTCACTTCACCCCCCAATCGCATGCACGTCCGCCACGCCCGCAAAAGTTGAATCTCGGAATCGCGTCACAAAGAATCCCTCCTCGATCGCCGGAAATTACCACATCCACGACACCCACCGCGACCACCCGCCGCCTCACGTCCGAGCCGTTTGCTTCGAACCGCGACGAGTCCCCCCCCTTCCTCGCCCATTGTCCAAGCATCTACGATAACCACAGCCCAAACACATTCGCCATGGATCACACGCGCGACCCCTGCCCCTGGGTTATCCTCAATGGTCGGTGACGAATCCGTCCCCTCCCCCATTCCTCCCTCTCCACGACCCGCAGACTGACGTTGAGGGAACAGACTTTGGCGGCGCGTTCGCCATGGGTGCGATAGGCGGCACGATCTGGCACGGCATCAAGGGCTACAGGAACAGCCCGTACGGCGAGCGCCGCATCGGCGCCATCTCGGCCATCAAGATGCGCGCCCCCGTTCTCGGCGGCAACTTTGGCGTGTGGGGTGGCCTGTTCTCAACGTTCGACTGCGCCGTCAAGGGCATTCGCCAGAAGGAGGATCCTTGGAACAGCGTAAGACTCCCACTTGGCGGAGGCCTTGCCCCCCTTTGGCTCTGTCCGGGTTTTCTGACGAGCAAGAACAGATCACGGCCGGTTTCTTCACCGGAGGAGCTCTCGCCATCCGTGGCGGATACAAGGTTCGTACACGCATTCGAGCTTCCTCACTTTGCGTTGTGTCCGTCGGCTGACCCAAGAAAACAAACCAGGCTGCCCGCAACGGTGCCATCGGCTGCGCGGTTCTGCTCGCCGTCATCGAAGGAGTCGGTATCGGCTTCCAGAAGATGTTTGCCGGAAGCACGAAGCTGGAGGTGAGTTTGGCAGAAGGGGAACCCTCCCTCCCTCATCCAACCTTGGAGGAGAAAAGACACTGACGATGCCACTGCAGATGCCCCAGCCCCCGCCTTCGAACGAGAAAGCATTGGCTTAGACGAACCGATCCCGTCTCTCTTACTATTTCATTCACCGAAAGGCGACACCCAGCGGCCGCCCCACGAAGAATAATACAACACAGCACCAACCCCTCTCTACTCTTCCGGCTCGGCGCCTCCTCCTTCCCTCCCCCCCTTTTCAGGAGGCCTCGATCTACTCTGTTTTTTCACCACCAAAATCGAACGACACTGTTCTCTTAATCTGCATATGCCAAAGGCGGGAAGGGGCGTTCCATGTACTATAAAAGTTTCTCAGTTATCGGGAACTGGACACACGGGGGGAAGAGGAACGACGGTTTGTTCCGCATCCCTCCCAGAAAGATGATTAGACACCGGGGACGAGTCGAGGGCACGCGGGAGCTTCATATGTCTGGGCAGATTCAAGGGGATAGCTCGGGCATGACCAGGACTTGGATCCGAGGAACAGGACGGCATCTCCCCCCCCCCCCCCCCTTTATGTTTGATAGGAGTACTGAACCTGTGGGATAGAGATGTTTTGTTAAAAATTTGTACCAACAAACTCGCCATCTACTCCTTCGTCTCGATCTATCGTGTTGTCCCCCCCCCCGCAAATGCTGAACCCCCAACCAGATTCCAAGACAACTCCAAAAAGGGGGGGTGATTTGACCTCATAATCTAGGTGCAAAGATCGAAGCGCGAGGCGAAAGCTCACCACTTTTCACACAGTTCCCCGACATCTACGCCCTCGACGTCCCCCCGATAGATCTTGGCGTAGGCCCTGCCGTCGTCGCCGACCCACGCCCGGTACATGCCGTTGCAGTTGAAGTCCTGCAGCACGGCCGACCGCGCGCCCACGACGCGGCCCTCGGCGTCGCGCGCCACCGCGACCTCGATGCCGATGACGCCGCCCTCGCCCTCTCCCGTCACGCGCCACCGCTCCCCCGCGCTCTTTTGAAGCTCCCCGCCCGGCCCGGAGACGAAGGACACGGCCTCGGCCCCGGACAGCGGCTTCCGCCGCGCCACCGCGCCGACCGTCCGCCCCGCCGCCACCCGCATGAAGGAGTCACCGTTGCCCGTGCCCGAGACGGCGATCGCGCGCGTCGTCGTCGTCGTCGGCGGCCCGAGGCCAGCCGGCAGTAGGGGCGCGTACGTCCGCAGCGAGGGCAGGCAGTCTGCCATCAACCCCCGCAGGGCGTCCGAGAGCACCACCGACCCTTTCTCGCCGCCGCCGCCACCACCAAAGGCGCCGGTCGGGTCGCCGTCCTCGACCCACTCCTCCGCCCAGAAGCCGGCCCCGACGACGGGCGTGTCCCCGATGCGGCCCGTCAGCTTGTTCGTCAGCCCGCCCGTGCTCGTCGCCGCGCACACGACGCCGTCCTCGTCCAGCGCCACGGCGCCCACCGTCCCCTGCGGCAGGAACTCGTCGGCGCTCCACGTGCTCGGCCCCTGCCCCTTCCTCTCCCGCTCCAGCGCGCGGACGTGCTCGTCCCACCGCTTCTGCGTGAAGAAGTAGCCTGTGTCCACGAGCGGCAGCCCGTACTGCCGGGCCAGCGTCTCGGCCGTCTCCCCGTGGAGGAGCGTGTGGCCCTGCGCGCTCGGCACGTCGACGGCGACGGCGGCGGCGGCGACGGGGGGCACTGTGGAGAAGGAGGAGGCTGATTGGCCCCCCAGGTCCTCGTCGCCGTGCTCGAGGATGGCCTTGGCCAGCAGGATCGGGTTCCTGACGTGCCGCAGGCCCGTGACGCCGACGCCGCGCTTCTTGCGGCCGCGCGTGACCATGACGGACGCCTCGAGCTCGTTGATGCCGTCGCGCGTGAAGACGGCGCCGTGCCCGCTGTTGAAGAGCGGGTTGTCCTCGAGCAGCGCCACGGCGTGCGCCGCCGTGTCCAGGGCCGAGGGCAGCCGGGCCGTGGACGCGAGCGGCGTCGTCTGGTAGGCGCTCGTCTTGCCGATCTGCGTCTTTGTGTCAGCACTCGGGGGAAGGGGCGGAGACGGGACTCAATCGAGACGTGAGACTTACAATCGTCAGTAGGGCGCGGCGATATGCCTCGTACTCGGGCGGCGCGAGGTTCGACGGCTTGATGTTGCCAGCGCCGCCGTGGATGATGAGACGCGGCTTCACCTTGACGGCGGCGGCGGCAGCTGGCGGCTGGCGTTTATACTCCATTGCGAAAATTGTCAACAAAGAAAATGAGTACGTTTTTCTTTTTCTTGGTTTGTTTGGTGAATGAAATGTCAATTCCCGCACTCAGAGTTCCCCTCCTAGCGATGGCGAAGCAAGTGTGTTTATGTGTAGTCTTGTGCCATCTGCACCGGCTCCTTGCATCGGCGGCGTCAGATTGCCCGCCGGAGTTACGTTGCTGAATGATAAGATAAGCTCCGAGGGGGGCCGAATTGGGAAGCTCGTCGGCATGGGTTCTCCGTATCAGCGTGGCCGATGTTCGGATCAGTCGAGCTGCACGCTAATCTCAACAGCTCAGCAAAGCACAACCAGATGAGGCACACTCATGTATGCCTAGTTAATATTCTGATTTTTGGGGTATCCATCTAGCTTTTTTAGTACAGATCCTCAATACACCCGTTCTATCTTTACTCCCTCCCCTCCCGAAACGCCTAGCTAGATCCAACAGCTTGAAATTCCATGCATCCATTCTACAGACGGGCGAATAATGACCCGATAATCTCCCTGCTCTTCAACAGATTCAGCACCCGTAGCCGCTCATTGTCCAGGTGGCCCGAATCGCTCGACTGTCCGCAGGGAAGATGAGCAGCGGGGGCATTAAATTCCTTCTCGAGAAACCGGATTGCCGGGATGGAACCGCCTTCGCGGATGTAAAGCGGTTTCCGGGGCTTCTTGTCTTTCGACTCCAGTGCCTCCTCTGCGCCGTCGTCGGCGGCCTCGTTGCTCTTGAACACGGAGGACCAGGCCTGCACGACGGCCTCCTCCAGCGTCTGGAAGATAGCATTGGTAGGGTCACCCAGCCAGGGCTCGGCTTTGTTATCCACCTTAATGGTAAGCGAATTCTTTGACTCGAGCGTTGCGAACTCGCTCTCGAGGTACGCATTCAGGGACGATATAACGTCGTTGACCTCTTGTCCTGGCACCAAGCGCAAGCTGATGCTGGCGCTCGCGTGGCTGCTGACCAAACTGCCGTCCGGGCCCGAGACCTTGTATCTATGAATCGTCAAGTTGGGCTCTCTCCAGCGCGCCATCAAAGCGGCTTTGAGCTTGTCGGCGAGCCCCTTCTCTGGGTCCTGCCGCATAAGCGTCGATGCGATATCATCGTAGCGCGTCTCCTCTTCGGCGGTGATAGGTAGAATGTCATCGTAGAATCCTGGTATGAGAACTCTGTTGCCAGGGCCCTTCAGCTTCGACAGCGTGTAGGTGAGGTCAGACAGAGGCTCGTTATTCATGTAGGAGCCATCCACGCCGGAATGTTGGTCGGGCAGATGGGAGTCTACGCAGACAGTGGCGTGCAAAACACCGCGCAGACCATAGGTGAGACACGGAACCTCATCGTCTAGCCAGTAGCTGTTGGCAATGAGGATGTAGTCGACATCGCCGATCAGGTCCTTGTTCTTGCGAACGATTTCTCTAAAACCGCGAGAGGCTGATTCCTCCTCGCCCTCAATCAGGAAGATTATGTCATTGGAGAGCTTTTTCGCTTGCAGTAGATCCGTCACCGCGTACAGAGCGGCCATGATCGGGCCTTTGTTGTCACTGACGCCTCTGCCGTACAAGTAACCGTTGATGCCCTTCATCTGGAAGGGATCCGTCTCCCACTTGCTCTTCTTGGTGTCGGCTGGTACGACATCGTAATGGCCGTAAAAGAGGATCTTCTTCCTCTTTTCGGCTGGCTCTAATGTACCGGCGAACTTGGCCAGCACAACTGGGTTGTGAGGGCTGCTTTCCGTGCTCAGCATCTCGACATGGCCACCGAGCCTTTTGAATAATGAGCCAAGAAATGTGGCGCCTCGTCGGCAATCTTCAGCGAATTCGGGTCGTGACGATACGGTCCGGTAGGAGACAAACTCGCCGAGTGTCCTGATCATGACGTCGTTGGCTTCCTCCGTGTCCTTTTGCTCCTCGTAAGGCGAGCAGTCAATGTGCCAGATGGCAACATCGTCGTCATTGCCGCCAGTGATATAGTATTGTCTGTTGTTATAGGTCGTCACAGCCGATGACAAGACCTTGCCCTCGTGGGCCTTCCACCGTGCGACGCACTGGTACTTTTGACTGATGTTAGCAGCCGCCTGCTTGTCTTGGTATTTTCCATAGTGGGCAGTTGTGTGTTTCTAAAGGTCGTTAGCAAGCGATAAAAAAAGACTAGCTTAAGGGGCTTACGCTCGCTGACCCCGACCGCGAGGCGCTCAAGAGGTAACCCCAGCCCATTTGCAGGGTCATGACGTCGCCCTTGTGTCCCTTGATAACTCTCAGCTTTGACTTGGTGTCCAGGTCCCACAGCTCGATAACCCCTTGCAGCTTCCCGGCGTACAGAAATGACCCGTCAATGGCAAGCGACATGACGGATTCGGCATCGTCGGCGCCGAGCGACATGAGTTCCTGCAGACCCGGCTCACGGTCGTTCTCGGCCGCCTGATCGTCTCCCTCGGCCCCCAGCTTCCACAGCTTGATGGTGCCGTCGCCCCCGCCAGAGATGAGCACCTCCTCGTCAGGTTCGACGAGGACCGTGGGCCCTTTGGCCATGAGCATCGAGTACACGTAGCCGTAGTGTGCGAACATCTGCAAAGCTCCCGGACGCATCTCCACCACCTTCTCCGACCGCGGGATGAGACTCCATCTCTCGTCGTTGCGGCGCGGGGTCGATGTACCTCCCACCGCCCTCGAGTCGAAGAATCTGTGGTTCCGTCGGTCGGGGTGCTGTGGGGAGTCGTGTGTCACACGGTTGTTGGGATCGGTGAGACTGACCCATTGTATCGAGGTATTCTGGGCTCCGAGGTAGACCGTGTCGTGCTGGGCGCTGTAGGCCACGGAGAAAATGTCGCCAACGTCGTAGGTACTGTAGATCTCGTATAGCCGGGTCATGGTCTTTGGGCACCAGGCATTGATGATGGGATCGCCGGCGCTGGAGAAGAGCATGGAGCCGTCAGGGGTCAGGAACAGGCTCAGCACGCTCCGCTTATGAGCTTGAACGATGCGCTCCTGGTGGAAGGTGGCCAGGGACCACACGACGATCTCGCCATCCTGGGTGCCGGCGTAGATGCGTTCGTTCTCGGCGCTGACGGCAAGGGCCAGGACGGAGCTGTCGTGCTTAAGGTTGTGGAGGAGTTCGGGGGCGACTTGGGGGTAGTCATCGGTATCGCTCAGATTCATGGACAGGTCCGAGGGCGCGATGGCCGACGGCATTGTGTCTTCTGTTGCGTGGGAGGCGGGAGCTTGTCAGCTTGTTGTAGGCCTAAGCGAGAGAATGCAGCCCCAGCAACGTCAACGGCAATGACAGCGTCGACGGCTGAACCGGACGGAGGAGAGCAACGGGCCGGCTAGGGTACTACAGATGGTTTCTGATCGTGGTTTTGGATCGGGTGAGACGGTAGGAAGGGGAGGGGAAAGAAGATGCATTCCCAGAACAGAGGCAAGACAAGGCCACAAATGTGTGCGGGTGCGGTATCGCAGCAGAAAAATGGCGAATGACGAAATGAGCGAACGATACTGTCAATTCCCCCTGGCAGGGATCCCCCGGAACAGCCAGAGGCGAGGAGAGGGATGAAGGGTGGGTGGGCTGAGTCCAGACTCCTGGGTTTGAGTGGATCGGTTCTGTGGTTCTCTAGGCTCTCCTTGGGGCTTTAGCTCCCTATCTTCACCAGGTCCACTGCTGTATCTTTGCGGAGGGGCAAACTGGCACTTGCAACTGGACCCGTCGTCTCATGACGCTTTCTCTTTCTCACCCGTACGGGGGACTTGTGCCTTGATAGTAGGGAGCTTTGTTCCTTTTTCTTCTTCTTCTTCTCGGTTCTTCGAGAAGGTTCAAGGCAGTTTGGCTATTGAAAATAAGGAAAGGTTGAAAGACTTACCATCTTCGTATTCCTCAGAGGACTCGGACCCGACTGACAGCCCGACCAGCTCCTCCTGGATCTTCCGGCATTGCTCGCAATCGTCCGGGCCCGGAGCGTGGTCCCCCGACTTGTACACACCCGCCATCTCTGGGGTTGTGTGATGTGCTATCCCGCGCAGTTCTGGATTCGACGAGAGGAGGATTCCGCAACGATTGTGTAGTGCCGAGTCCGCTTCGATGTCCGGAGGTGGGGGGGCAAGTTTCTCGCGACTGGGTGGGTAGCTTGTATACTTATTTGTACAGACGTCCTGATGGCTTTGACTCCCTCACCGCTTCATGACGCAACATTGGAGGGGATGGTATCATACGCCCGTGGTGAAGAGCTGCGAGCGCCCGTTCGGAAACGAGATTACTCGAGAAAGTAGGAAAAGGATAACGGCCAGCCGAGACGGAGCTTGAGGAACGTTCAGTTAGGGGTTGCGAGATCGAGCCAGGTCGCGTGATTGCCCATCACTTGTTATATTTGCCGCCCTGCCTGCCCGCATTGCGTTGGGACTCGCCCGCCCGCCTGCCAAGCGTCGACCTGAATCCCAGCTGGATCCTGTCTGTCTCTCAGCGTGTTTATGCAGTAGCACCTAGCTGAGACGGCCCCTGGGAGGCTTGCCGAAGCGACCTAGAGTGGCTGCTGATGTGCTGCAAGATGCGAAGAAGGCCTCAGCGGTCGTGGGGCCCGTCTCACCGCAAGATGGTGCGTCCAGTTGCACAAAGCCCCAGTCTAGGGTGCGTATGGTGATCGTCGAGGGTCCCCCTCGGCTGCCCTATTGGGAGCTTCCACGCATGCGACGGAAACAGAGCCCCGGTGAACGGAGAGTCTGTTGGGCAAGGGGAGACAAAGTGTAGCGCGGGTGTCATCAGCCGCTCTCCCTCCTTCTCGAACCTCATAGGCCACTCATTTCTCGCTGCCAATCCAGCGCGGCCTCCGGGCGGCAGCGTCTCTTACAGTCTGTGTTGGCTGTCCCTTCATACATACTTTGATCTGCACAGTACATAATAGATAGTGATGGTTGGGGAGATACCCACATAGGCCCATGGGTCACTTGCCTGAAATCAGACATCGGACTTGGCCATACTACTACAAGTACGGATACTGCCCTGCGGAATCAAAGAGACAGCTGCCTCAATGTGGATGAGTTGTCTTGTTACGCAAGACAACGTACCTACCGGTACATGGACAGGCGAGTTGGCCACAGCTTCTCAACCCAGCCCCCTGGTGGCTGTGGGGTTCACTAAAAGAAAGCGAGTGAGCCAACGAGATAAGAATGCATTAGGCCCTGCACACCCCCATAGCTGTTCAGTCTTCGAGTCCACCTAGCAAATGGCCAATGGCAGAGCTCGAGGACGACCGTCTCTTGTTCCAAGGCTGACTGCTGGCTTTGGCGGGAACCTCCTCCCCCAAATAGTTCTCTCATTAATGCGAAAGGGCCGCCAGTCTGGCTGCATCCCCCCCCCCAAAAAGCCCTTGCTAAAGTCCTATCTAAACTCGTCGGGGTGTGCAATTACATCGACGGGGCCAGGTCCGGCTCATCGCCAAACCAATACCCAGCCAGCCGGCACCGTGCACGCGTGAGACAGGCAATCAAACGCCATGGAGAGCACGCCATCAACCCCCAGCAAGGTCATTTGCCCTCTGGAACGGCCGCCAGCGACGACGACAATTGGGAAGTCCATCTTTCTCGCCGGCACAACGAGCAAGGGAGACTGGCGCAAACATCTTGCCGACTCCATCTCTCATCTCCCCGTGACCATTTTCAACCCCTTCCGTCCGGACTGGGACAGCACTTGGAGGGAGGACGTTTCCGACGAGAGGTTCAGGGACCAGGTCGAGTGGGAGCTGGAGATGCAGGAGAGAGCCGACATCATTGTCGTCTTCTTCGAGCAGGACACTGAGGCTCACATCAGCCTGCTCGAGCTAGGACTGTGTGCTCGGTCTGGAAAGGCCATCGTCGCGTGCTCGGAGCGATACAAGAAACGGGGGAACGTCCAGGCCGTCTGTGCCCGGTATGGGATTCCGCTTGTTGCCAACCTCGAGAGCTTGGAGAGGGAACTGGTCAGCAGGCTGGGAGAGTCTGGTCTAAATGACTCATGAAAATGACTTAGATCAGGATAATTGATGCATTTGGATACAACAACTGATTTCCTCAGTATGAACGACGACCTACCTAAACAGGTGGTAGGCGTTTGCTTGCGCCGCACTGTATACACACGGTCCAGTCACCCATCCGGGCCGAAGATAATCCGCCGCACCCACTTTCCCTACTCCGCGACTCGGCTCCCCCACTTGCCCAATCCGACATGGCTTGCCGCTGTGCAAACAGCCACCACAGCTTCGGGTCAACTTCTCAGACCAAACAAACCTCCTGTGTGCTTGCTCCAATAATCTCTAGCTCCTCTATGGTGGGTTGCAATCTAAAGCATTTGAACTTTTGTTACGATACCATACCTGTTAGAAAAGAAAAACCTCAAAATGGACGACCAATTCGGAGGCCGCACCGACGATGACCTGTTCTTCGACGACTTTGAACCTGTAAGCAATCCCCAGGTCGTCGAAACCGTCGCAGCCCCTCCTCCCCCTCCCGCCGCCGTCGTGACACCGCCTGTCGAGCCCCCCAAACCCAAACCTGCCGCGCCAAAGCCCGTCCAAAGACCTCCTCCTTCCCAACAACCTGCCACAAAGCGACCCTCCACTGCGCCGAGGGGCGGGCTCGCCAACTCGCGCTTCGCCGACAAGCCTGCCGCCGCCCCGCGCTCTCCCCGCCAAGCCGCTCCCGCGTCGACGCCATCGGTCACGACCACGCCGACTCCCCAGCCTCCCGCCGACCCCGCGGCGGCGCAGACCGCGACAGCGCCAGCCGCGTCGGCGGCGCCCACAGCCGCGGCTGCTTCCTCCCCCGCGACGACCAAGAGTTCATCCCCCGCGTCCCACCCGCCCCGCGAAAAGCCGCAACCCCCGCCCACCGCGCCTACGGGTCCGGCCGCCGGCAGCACCACCCCCACCACCCCAGGCGCGACCCCCGGCGCAAACACGGCCCTAAACGCTGCGGCGCGCCTGGGGTCCGGCGCGAACCCGCGGACCAAGCTCACCGAGACGGAGCTGGCGGCCAAGATGGAGCAGATGCGCATCCTCAACGCCGAGAAGACGCGCAAGTTCGAGCAGGCCGAGCAGGACGAGCGCAGCCACGCCGAGGCATACGCCCGCGGCATGGAGGAAGCGCGGCAGCGCAGGAAGCTCGACGAGGAGAGGCGGCGCCGCGGCGAGGAGGAGCGCAGGCGCATGGACGACGAGCGCGCCAAGAACAGGGAGAGGAAGCTCAAGGCCATGAGCATAAAGGAGGGCGGCTGGGACGAGGGCAAGGACGCGCTCGCGCAGGAGGACGAGAAGAGGGGGTTCCGCGGCGCCAACGGCGGGGTCCGCGGAATCAAGTCCGGCGCGGGGCTCTCGGGGAGCAGGTTCGCCCGCGATGGCGACGACGCTGGCGATCGGCATGCCAGCGCCGGCCCCGGCGAAGAGCGGAGGGGGGCGGTGGCCGCGGCCGCGGTAGGGGCCGTGGTGGTCTAGGGCGGGGAAACGGACGCGGTGGCCGGGGTGGTGGGTTTGCCAACGAGCACGAGCGCGATCCTGCCGCGTCCAACGGCGGCGACGGCGTCAAACCCGCCACGCCTGCACCCGTCATCAGCACCGAGGAGTTCCCCGCTCTGCCCGGCAAGAAGTCCACGACCGACGACGCGTCGCTGCCCATGCTGTCGCCCCTCGGCCGATGGGACGACGAGATGGAGGCCTTCGACGCCAAACTCAAGAGCGGCGCGAACGCTACGGAATGAATTTTTATTCCTTCCTTTTTTTTCCTTTCTCGCTGCGGCTTGACGAGTCACATGAACAGGGCATGGGATTGGATCACGAAACAGCGACCATGCATCTTTTGGACACTGTTGTGGACAAAGAAAAGAAAAAAACGAGCAGGACTTTTTTTTTGGTTCATTATAGCCCGCTTCTTAGAGCCCGCTTCTTAGAGCATGGTCCCGTTCCAGACGGCGCACTTTGGATATTGAACATTGTAGAAGGCCCCGTTACCAGCACAAGAAATATATGAAAGTTGTCCGGGACTCGCTGTCATTGTCGCTCAAGGCATCAAGCTCGACAGATTTATTCTCATCTCGGGGTTTTCCTTCAATTATGCGCATTCTCCTCCCCCCTCTAGCGCGAGCCGTCCTCTGATGCCGGAATCGAGGCCTAAAAGACTTAGTATGAAGCAAACAGAACTCCAGTGGTTCGTCACCCACGTTTTGCATTCTGTTGAATAGATGCTGAGAATCACGTCCTTGCTCCTGCGAACCGTGGCGTACATGTCCACCGGGGCGGTTGTGCCATTCGGGGTCTGTCTTTCAACATTCCTCAGACGAGATTGGTATCCGAGCAGGCGCAGCGACAATACTTCGATCTGCGCTTGGGGGTGGGCGATGTTTCGGCAGACCCCGTTTGTTTACGTTGTCGTCCGGTCGTGGCCTCGTTTTCTCTCCGAATCGGCCTACCATCCGCCACGGTATCCTCTGCCTCCGCGACCCCGGTAGCCGCCGCCACTTCTGGGCCCCCTGGGGCCGCCGGACCCCATGCCGTCGTCTTCGATCGGCGCCCGCTGGCGATGACGCATCTCCTTCGGGAACGCGTCGAAAGTCTTGCGCATCTGCGCGTACCCCAAGTGCATCTTTCCGTAAAAGTGGTCCGCTAGGCGGCGATCGTTGTCCAGCCTGCTAAGGTAGGCGCCGCACACGTCGCAGACCTGCAGCTTCTGGTGGCCAGACGGGCCCGAGGTATCAGAGAGCGCCTTGAGCTCCTTCTCGCGATCAAGCTTGGTCTGCTGCGCTTGTCGTACCCGGTAGAATTCGTCAATGGCGCGGGACACTTCGCCCATTTCACCCAGGATCTCGACTTCGAGGGTGCCGTTGTGGATAGTAGAGGAGAGTTCTGATATGCTTTTCAACTGCAGAGAGTTAGTCAGATGCGTTGGAAAGTCGTGATTGCTGTGGCAACATACCAGAGCATTTGTTTGACGGATCTCGTCAGGGGTCTTCTCGAGCCTGCGCTGAGCCGAGTCTATCCTCCTGTTGCAGTCGTCGATATACTTCTGAAGGTCGCGCATGTAGTCGTACTCGAATCCATACTTTTGCTTCTCCTTGTCCGAGAGGCCCTCGTACTCGGCCTTGAGCGCCTCAGAGTGCTGCTTTGGACAGGGGCCCAGGTCCTGCTTGGTATTTGTGAAGAGGTCGTGAGGACATGTGCCGACGAGGAAAGATCTGCAAACTTTGGGGTCGGTCATGGAAAGCGAGGCAGCGCGGGTGCTGGCCGAGCCACCCATCAGCTGCTCGAGCAGCTTTCTCTGTTCTGCAGCCATGGCGTGTGGTATGCGGTAGTGTTCGTGGAGGTTGTCGTGCTGTGCTGTGTATCGACGATATCTTCGTGGGGCAAATTGGGTGTTTTTGGTTTGGGGGTAAAGAATCTCTCTCCAAATCTCGGGCTGGGGAAGAAAGCGCTGCGCGGGATGGAGCAGCAGACCAGATCGAAGGTGGACCACGGGCGGAATGTGGAGAGCTGCCCAAGGGTGCGACTTTGGCAAGCCAAAAGATTTTGGTTACGTAAGGGTCGTTCTGCCGGAGTCCACCGCCTCCCATGTCCCTCCAAGCGACCACCTTCACGACCACGACTTCTACTCCAGGCCACATCCATGCGCTGCTATGTAGAGAAGAAAGAAAGAAGCAGACGTCACTTTCGTTCTCCTTTTGCGCTGTGATTCCTCTTCTCAAGATGCGCCAGTTTCTGGCCATCGTTCTCTTTTCCTGCCTGGCGTCCTTCGGCCTAGCTGCGGATTACCACGAGCAGCTCAACCTCCGTCCGCTACCCCTTTCCTCATTGCTTGCGAGTTTCAATTTCCGGTCCAACACGTCGCTGTCCGATTTCGAGTCGCAAAACTTCCGATACTTCCCCCGTTCTCTCGGTCAGATTCTACAATATGCCGGCACGCGAGAATTACATCTGAGGTTTAGCCTGGGGCGATGGGACGCTGAAAGCTGGGGAAGCCGGCCGTGGGATGGTCAGCGCGAGGGCGGAACGGGCGTGGAACTGTGGGCATGGCTCGAGGCTGAGACGGACGAAGAGTATGGCGTTCCCCCCGCTTACCGCGCAATTGCGACTGACAAATATGCAGGGCTGATCAGAAGTGGCTGACCCTCACCAATGCCCTCTCGGGTCTCTTCTGCGCATCGCTCAACTTCGTCGACGGAACCCGAACCACCCGACCCGTCATGTCTTTCCAACCAGAGGGTCACCATCCCGAGGCCTCCATCCCGAACATGCAGCTCCTACACGGCGTCCTTCCGAAAGAGGTTGTCTGCACAGAGAATCTGACACCTTTTCTTAAGCTGCTCCCCTGCAAGGGAAAGGCTGGCATTTCGAGTCTCCTTGACGGTCACAAGCTCTTCGATTCCTCCTTCCAGAGCATGGCCATTGACATCAAGCCAGTGTGCCCAGATGGTGAGGAGTGTAGTCTGCAAATCGAACAGACTATCGACATGGTTCTGGACATTGACCGGTCCAAGCGTCCGAGAGATAACCCGATTCCTCGCCCACCGCCCGCGCATGAGCTGAAGTGCGACACCTCAAAGCCCTATCACTCCGATGACACATGTTACCCGGTCGGCCTCACCACCGGTCAAGATTGGTCTCTTTCTCAGGTGTTTGGCAAGTTTGTCAAGGGAACATGCCCTCTGACAGACGAGGACATGCCCCCTGTGTGTATCGAGGTGCCCCATTCAAGAAGTGTCTACGCCTCTGGCGGAGCTACAGAAATTCTCAACCCGAACGGTGTATCGAGATGTTTCACGATCGGATCAGAGGCAGAACTCGAAATTGTCCTGCCTCTTGAGGCCATGGAAGGCCAGGATCCTATAAAGGAGCTCGTCGAGCCCTCTACACCTCTCATCTATGCCGAGCGCAGTTTTACCGGATACGGCCAAGAGCATGGTGGCATGCAGGCCATTCTGACGAACCCGAGCAAGGATACCGAGGTCGAGTTCATCTATATGGAGTCGCTGCCCTGGTTCATGAGGGTGTATCTACACACTCTGAACGCCCGTATCGAGGGATCTTCGGGCTCACAGCCATCCATCATCGAGGACATTTACTATCGTCCCGCTGTCGACCGTGCCAGAGGCACGCAACTCGAGTTACGCATGCGCATCCCTCCTGCATCAACCGTCTTCCTTACCTATGACTTTGAAAAGTCAATTCTTCGCTACACCGAATACCCCCCTGACGCCAACCGCGGCTTCGACATTGCTGCTGCTGTCATTACCACCTTGAGCCCACGTACGCAAAGTACTCGGACAACCACTCTGCTGCTGAATCTCCCGACGCCGGACTTCAGCATGCCATACAACGTCATCATCTTCACGTCGACAGCAATTGCGCTCGCTTTCGGCGGCATGTACAATATCCTAGTTCGTAGACTAGTAGGCGCCGATGAGGGCCCCAGTCCAGTGCTCAAGGCCAAAATAGGCAAGCTGCTGGGAAAGCTCAAAGGCTTGCGATCTAAGAAATAGAAAGCCATGTTTGTGTTCTTGTGTCATGATATCTTAATCTATTTGAGGCACCAAGTGACTTCGCACTGACACGTCGGCTAGACTGTACCCTGTTTGCTGTCACAGCCGCTCTGAACTCTGACTTGAGATCCCACGAGGCCTCGCGTGTTCTGTTATGGGCGCCGGGGGTTTGTCATGAGCCGAGGGGGGGCTGGACGGCAGCGTTCTGCTGTGGAACAGCGAGAGCGAGCGGGTTCAAGTCATATCCTCGTGTCTCTATCCACTGCCATGTTCTTCTATGAGGTATCAACGAACGATTGGACGTCGCACAAGTGCAAGTGTGTGTCACCGGTGTATATATAGAACGCTCGATCAAGCGGGTGTGATCCAATCCCGCATGCCCCTTACGGGATCTAGGATCTCACTCCGGCTGGTTCTCGGGCTTGTTCTATAAACGCAGGATTCCGCCAACTGTCGTCTGCCGGTTTCCTGATATCAGTCTGCAGGGTAGCTCCCATCCATTTCCAGCAACTCGGCCCTTTTCAGAGCATATCAAAACTTACGGAAAGACTTATGCTTTTGAGAATAATCATCAGCGTATGTTTTCCGTCGGTGTCATGACCCCCGGCATCGCATGCGGACAGCTCACGGCTTCCCACTTCTTTGAGATTACGGTGTAACATGAGAGTAGGACATAAGTTTTAAGTCACAGCATTGCTCGGACCCAGCTGCCAACCTCTGGTTCAGGCGATTCGAGAGATCACATTCTCCTCATTCGTCATGTGAATTGGGGCCCTGAGATGGAAGATTGAAGCATAAATACACAGGAAGCAAATTGTTTGCTCCTGGGCACCTTTTTGACCTGGCTGGGTCCCAATCATGCAAATCTCAAAGCCGACGCTGCTAATAACCGAACGCTTGGAGTTCCGTCTACGGGCCGCTTGCTGGATGTGCGGGCCTTTTTTGTTTGCGATGTTATAGGCCTTGAACAGTGTCGGGGATGCAGGCTCCCTCATGGCCGGCATGGCGCATGAGCATGTTGGTACAGAATCATCCATTGAGGCAAGGTTCCAGGCTTCTTGCGTTCCATATTAAGACGACGAATTCCCAAGATTTTAACCCATCTCCCTCCTTCATACCTTATCCATCATCGAATAAGGACTGCGCTGGAATAGGTGACTATGCTGCTGAGAAACGCTATCCCAATACTCTTCTTGACGGGTGTTAGCCTAGCTAGATTCGGGCAGACA